AGAAGAAACATCCTCACATGAGTTTTCATGCATGCCCCAATTATGCCAAGAGTGGGGAGATCATGTTGGATGCACACACACCCCTCCCATAATGTGCTTTGAAGGTAAAAGGTAAAGGACCCCTAGATGGTTAAGTCCGGTCAAAGGCGACTATGAGGTTGAGGCGCCCATCTTGCTTTCAGGCTGAGGGAGCCGGCGTTTTGTCCACAGACAGCTTTCTTGGTCATGTGGCCAGCAGGACTAAACCGCTTCTGGTGCAACAGGACACCGTGACAAGTGCCAGAGCGCATGGAAACGCCATTTACCTTCCCACCGCAGCGGTACCTATTTATCTGCTTGCACTGGCGTGCTTTGGAACTGGTTGGTTGGCAGGAGCTGGGACAGAGCAATGGGAGCTCACCCCGTCGTGGGGATTCGAACCGCCGACCTTCTGATCAGCAAGCCCAAGAGGCTCAGTGGTTTAGACCACAGAGCCACCCGCGTCCCTATGCTTTGAAGGTACTGGAGCAACCTTCATTTTGTTGTTGTTGTTATTGTTGTCGTTTAGTCATGTCTGACTTTTCGTGACCCCATGGACCAGAGCACGCCAGGCACTCCTGTCTTCCACTGCCTCCCGCAGTTTCGTCAAATTCATGTTGGTAGTTTCGAGAACATTGTCCAACCATCTCATCCTCTGTCATCCCCTTCTCCTTGTGCCCTCAATCTTTCCCAACATTACCTTTCGTCCTCCTAGATGGACTTAAAAAGACAACTCACCTAACTGTGCCCATGACGTGTTTCTCACGTTACCCAAGTTTTTAACCAACTTGCGTTAATGCTTTCAGACAAACATTTAACCAATGTAAGAAGCAATCTGGAGTTACATAAATCACATGTACCATCTCAAGAGAGCAGGTAGGGAGCGACATGTTGGAATGTCAACTTCTAAATATCTTTGCACGTGGATACCAGGAAGTGCAGACTCTCCTAGTGTCCCTATCTTCCAGGGACAGTCCCAGATTTACAGCAGCCATCTAATTTGACCCCGGAATGTTGGAAGACGCCCAGAGTGGCTGGGGCAGATGGGTGGGGTATAAATAATACCAAAGCTATGGTACTACTAACAACCTTACGGTATGCTTGTGAAACGTGGACCACTTATAAATGCATCTCCAACTCCTCCATCAATGATGTCTCCGAAAAATTTTACACTTTACCTGGGAAGACGGGCGAACTAATGTCAGTGTAGTGGAAGAAGCAAAGATCACCCATGTAAAAATGATGATTCTTCAACATCAACTTCGTTGGACTGGTCATGTTGTGCAGATGCCTGATTATCGTCTTTCAAAACAACTACTCTATTCCGAACTTTAAAATGGTAATCATAATGCTGGTGGTCAACAAGAGAGGTTTAAAGACACTCTCAAAGCAAATCTTTAAAAATGTAGTATAAACACCAAAAACTGAGAAACACTGGCCTGTGAGCACTCCAATTGGAGAATAGCCTTTACTAAAGGTGTCATGGGTTTTGAAGACACTCAAACTCAGGACAAAAAGGAGAAACGTGCTAAGAGGAAGGCACGCTTGGCAAACCCTCACCATGATCAACTCCCGCCCGGAAACCAATGTCCCCACTGTGGAAGGGCGTGTGGATCCAGAATTGGCCTCCACAGTCACTTATGGACGAACTGTTAAAACTGTATTCATGGAAGACAATCTTACTTGGCTACGAGTGATAGAAGAAGAAGAAGAAGAAGAAGAAGAAGAAGAAGAAGAAGAAGAAGAAGAAGAAGAAGAAGAAGAAGAAGAAGAAATAGTACGATTATAATGCTGATGCTGGAATTGGACGTCTCTATTTTCATTGGAGAAATATTGGAGGGTATGGAAGTGGTCATCCCATCTTCTCCCTATATGCAGTCCTTCAACAGAAGGGTGAAGCAGTACAGTCCCAAGAACTCTGTATAGGTGACTTTTCTGCCTGTGGAGATCAGCTCTCCATGTGATCAATTTTCCAACCTCATCAGATTTGTACTGTGGAAGTATTTCTCATCAGACATAAGGGAGGAAGGCCCTGAAGAGTATTTTTTTTAAGGAACTTTCACTAAGAGGCTTTGAAACTCCGTTTCAAGCTGGGCATAGTACTCTATATCACCAGCTTCACAGCTGAATAGTTTGAAACAATTGAAGGACATTGGTAGCATTTTTATTATGTTGCCTTTAGGAGACGTCATCTTTTTTTATTCTTATTGCTATCTAATAACCTGCCAGCTTTGTGATCAATGCATTAATACCTCGCAGCTAATTATTTCAAACCTGAAAGATGGCAAAAATCCTAAAGATATTTAGAAGCAAATTAACCAGGCCTCTGGTTTACTAAGCAGTTTAGGCAAAACATTTCCCTGCAACTGCAAAACACTATAATAAAGGAAGGTGCTGCAAACAAACCTGAATTGTTCGGAGGAAATGCCTATAATTTGTCTTTTAAAAGTGACATTTTGAAGTCTAATTATTGTTCTCTATCAAATCACCATAAAAACAGCATTAAAGCCTCATGCCAGGAATAATTGGTACTTTTGATTCTCGGGGGAGTTGCACCTTTTTATTCAGATCATCCAACTGCAGTCTTGCCAACACTGAAGCGGCAAAGAATCATTTAATGAAATTGTATTCCTTGGGAACTCGGGCGGCTTAATGAGGACTTGGAATTTTCCTGTCAACGACCAACATTTCCATGGATTTCCTGGATTGTGACAAAGAACAGCTATTCCCACGCCCCCTCCCTTTCTTAAGTTCTGAACTAGTTAGAAATAAGTTCAGGCAGTAGTCCCAGACACAATTACCCGGCAGGAAGTCCCATTCAGCTCAGTAGGACCTACTACTCAATGGGCGTGTATTATATTTGCATTCTTCCCCACCCATCTCACTTCATCGTGGTACCCAAGAGGCAGATTTAGGGCAGCTCGACTGGTTCTGCCGCACTGGACACCAAGCCCATGGGGCATCACATCTATGACATAGTGAATTGAGCAGAATGGAAGGCGAGAGGCGCCGGATTTTGGGCTTGCCGCAGAAGTTCGAAAGAGCAACATCTGCCCCTGTGGTTGATTTCTTTGTGGACATCCTTATTCTGTCCTGCACACACAGCTATTCCTGCTCCTGATTCCAGCATCCTGTGCTGTGGAGATTAGGCCACTGCACTACGTCTAGTCCAGAAGATTTAGATAACCTATCGTTTGAAAAAACACAAGGGTCTGGGTTGGGGAATAGTCACTTGTGTGCTACTCTGTACTGGGAAACACTGGCCTGCAAGCGCTCCAGTTGGAAGACAGCCTTTACCAAGGCGTGCAAAGAGGAAGGCACGCTTGGCAAACCCTCACCATGACCAACTCCCACCTGGAAACCTATGTCCCCACTGTGGAGGAACATGTAGATCCAGAATTCCAGAATTGGCCTCCACAGTCACTTACGGACGCATGGTTAAAACCGTGTTTATGGAAGACAATCTTACTCTGCTACGAGTGATTGCCAAAAAAAAAGACGGCTTTGTATTGGCCAACTTCCAGTCTTCCACAAGTGACTAGATCATGTGGTAAACAACAAGGCACCTGCATACCCTCCCAACATTTCTCCGATGAAAACAGGGCCATCTTATTATTTTATTTTGGCCATGGGTGGCACTGTGGTCTAAACCACAGAGCCTAGGGCTTGCTGATCAAAAGGTTGGCAGTACGAATCCCTGTGACTGGGTGAGTTCCCGTTGCTCGGTCCCAGCTCCTGCCAACCTAGCAGCTCGAAAGCATGCCAGTGCAAGTAGATAAATAGGTACCGTTGCGGCGGGGAGGTAAACGGCGTTTCTGTGCGCTGCTCTGGTTTTGCCAGAAGCGGCTTAGTAATGCTGGCCACATTACCTGGAAAAACTGTCTGCAGACAAAACACCGGCTCCCTCGGCCTGTAAAGCGAGATGAGCGCCACAAACCCAGAGTCATTCGCGACTGGACTTAACTGTCAGGGGTCCCTTTACCTTTAATTCATTTATTATTTCATTATTCCCAGCCCATTTCACTGGGTTGCCCCAGCCACTCTTGGGTGGCTTCCAACATATATTAAAACAGAAAAAAACATTACACATTTAAAAACTTCCCTATATAAGACTGCCTTCAGTTGTCTTCTAAAGGTTGTATCTCCTTGGCTTGGGGGCAGTCCGCATAACTCCATACCCGCCAACATTTCTCTGATGCAAACAGGGACGTCCTAAGGAAAAGCAGGACATTCAGAGATCAAATCAGAAACCGGGACGGCGTCTGTAAATCCGGGACTGCCCCTGGAAAACAGAGACACCTGGAGGGGCTACATCTGTTCACACTAAGGAATGGAAGAGCAGATCAGCTTGATACAGCCATGTTGGTTTAAATTTAAGCTTCCATGGTTGTGGTAAGTTTTAATGAATAAGGATGCGTACTAACTTGAGAGAGCTATAACATATATACCTTATGAGCCATTGTGGTAGTGGATCTGTTCTTAGAACCAGTTGACATTAAATGTTTCTTGAATCCCAAAGAGTAGTTTAGGATCTCGTCACCTGCCCTTTTACTTATTCATTTTGTCCTCCACCTGCCTCCTATCTTGAAGCAATCCCTAGCTCTCCAAGCAGCTGAGAACAAGAAGAAGTACTGGAGACAAACTTAATTGGGCAGAATTCTCAGCAGCATCTAATTGGCTCACTCCATTCTTCTTTGCATTTGAACTCCGGCAAATATCCCCCAACTGCTGTGCTAAATGGAAAAATCTGGGGTCAGGGATGCCCCTTGCTGATCACCAAAAACACCCCAGATTTATTTATTTATTCACAGTTAACGTAATGGTTGTGTCATTAGATTTATACCTCTATTATAACTGATGGCTGAAGGGGAGGTGGGGTTTTTTAGTGAAATCAATTGCACTTCATTTTTAAGACATCGTAAGGAAATCCACTTGCTAAAAAACAGTGCCCAGTGGCGAATCAATACAAGGAATGCCCGGGAGATATTTTAGATACTTTATTTTTCTAGACTATTGCTTCAAGAATTCACAATGGTCAGTGAAGCTTCTACACTCAGAAATAAACCCAACACTTTACCACTCTAGTACTGACAGCTGAGATTTCTGTTAAATCACAGCTGAAGAGATAGTTTTGACAATGACTCCAATTGCATGTGAAAAATTTGAAATGTATGAGCTTAGTAAGACAGAGATGGTATCTATCACAAGAAAAAGCTTAGATGCCTTCCTTGTTCATCCCCCCCCCAAGTGGTGTCAACAACCATCTACAAAATAAAACAAAGTGTTAACTCTTCCTTGATTATACCAAAACTCAAAGGCATTTAACTCCATTAACTTTTCTTCTAAGTTTCCCTGCACCGTTTCCGGATCAGTTCCTTACCCCCCAAATTTCCTCCCTCATTTAACTTTCCCTTCTGCGCCCCAACCAAGGAGATGAAAAATCCCCATTTTCCTCATTCAAGCCAACTCTGTTTCCTTCCAGTCTTTAATGCACGAAACTGATGGTCCACATTTTTCACTCAGTTCAATGCTAGGCTTAGCAAGCTTTTCCTTTTTCCAACCCAAACATTCAAGCTTAAGGAGGCAGGAGAACAAAAGAATGCAATTTAAAATGAGTATTTATTGTTCAACCAGCAATCACTAGCCAGCCAGCCTCTGCTATGCCACACCATGCAACCTGCTGGTACTTCCACCCATTATTATTTTTTTAATTAATCAACCTGAGCATGCACTGAAATGTATAGTCAAATGCATTTATTAATACATGTTGATCTCCCACACTTTTTGGCCGTTTTCAAAGCAGCAGGTATTGGCGTGCCTTGCACCCTGAATAAGGAGTCATAAATTTTTAAATGTCTTTTTTCCCCTGCAATCAGTACAGACTTACTTCAAAACAAAACCTCAGGACACCAACATTTTAAGTCTTAGTCGCTTTGCTTCATAACGTACAGGATAGACACGTGTAACAACTACCCCAACTGCATATAAATATCTACTTTTGCATTGTCAAAACGTCCTATCTAGTCCTAGGAAAGGGTCTTCCTAGGCTGAGTTTACAAATTACATTTAACCATATTAAGTCTATAACTTAACATTGACAATGCACTTAAGGGATTGAAAAGGAATTTGTAACATGTCCTGGAAAGCTGGACGCTACACACATAACTACAGTCAAGCACCAGAAATTCGTTTTAAAGAGTGTGTTTTAGGATGCACCCACATCATTACTTAAACTCACTAAAAATTAAGGGAGACAGTAACTGTATTATGTTTCAAACTACACAGATTATGAATGCTCATGGGCTGGCACCAGAAGCTGCCAAGACCCATTAAGGGCTCCACAGACTGCACTACCATCTTGGTTCCCTTGGCATAGGGCATACAATATTTTGCTCATAAACTGAACCCAACGAAAACAAGCAATCTGGGTCTCAACTGCTGGTGCAAAGGATTTCTCAATATACATGTCCGATAGGCCTCCATCTCTAAGGAGCGGTGGTCTGTTTCTTTTCCCCAACTGAATCTCCCCAGAATGCTGAAGTAAGCCCTGAGAAGGCCTTACATTGTTCCCCAATTATTCTGCAAAGCACCGGGATTTAGCAAGAGATGCATATCATCTACAACCATTTCCCAATTTGTGTTGAGGGCGGTGGGAGGGAAGGGTGGAAATCCAACACAAAAAGAGAAAATGGCCAGTTGAGTCGAACAGCGTCAAGCCTCTCCACTTGTGCAAGAGTCACACAGTTCTGATGGCAGTGACAAACTGCTGCCAACTTCTTCAGCCATGGGTCAGGATACACAAAGGGCTTGAATGAGGAATGTCAAAACCGGTTCAAATATATTTTAGCACTGAAGGGAGCCGACATCACACCCATCAGAACAAATGCAGACATCTTGCAAATGAAACAGCCCTGGGGCTATTTTTTTACATCTCCGGCTTTCATGAGAGCCTTAATAGCCCTGGCTCGCATCTCAAGCTCCAGGAGTTCCAGCTGCTGTGCTGATGGCTGGACATCATCTGTTGGAGGAACCGCCAAAGTTGCTGCCTTTGGCTCCTTTGGGGAGGATTCTGCAAGCCCCAGGATCTCGTTCACGCTTTTCTCAATGTCCTTCTGGAGGTCGTCTATTGGACCATCTCCACTTCTGACAGTCCTTTCCAGCCCATCTGAATTATCTTCCTCATTGCATGGGCCTTCAATGTCACTGTCGTACGCATCTGCGTTGATGCTGAGAACATCGCTGTCTTCTCCTTTGCCTGTAACACAAAATTAACAGAAAGGAAGAATTCAGAAGCCCTTTAAAAATAAAATAAAATTGGCTTTTCATCTTGTGAAACATTTCCTCTGCATACAAATACTCCTTTGCATAGATTTAAGGTATAGGAAAGTCATCTATAAATTAAAATCAACAGTTTCTCTCTTTGCTCCCCTCCCCCAGCTTTAAGACTGATCTAATTTAGACAAGTTTTAATGCATTTTTATTCCAATTTAGGAGAACATGCAGTAGACCAGAGCAGCAGCGCTTGGAAAATTTATTCCATCGTATGGAATTGCATGATCTATTTTCCTAATTAAAATGTCATAAGGTTTTATATCACAAGGACGCCTCTGCATTACAAAATGAAAGTTGATGTGGGGAGCCTTTGGGGCTGACTGCTGTTTATTATTTTAGAAGTGAATTTAATTCCTGAAGTGCAGTTTAAAAAATACTCCTAAAATTCTCGTGTACATTGCAACAAAATAAAATGATATCAGCGTGGCAATACACTTATTAAGAGATATCTGTGCAAAGACTTTTAATGAAGTGTTTCAATTTAAGTTATCTCAAAAACAATTACAGCGTTCCTATTTGTTCAATTATGATTAAAAACATGGGCTGGGATCCAAAGAACTACTTTGGACATGACCTCAAGGTTTGAGAATTTGAAAAGGCCCTTTGAATGCCAAAGCTGCATTCTGCAGTAGTTCACTGGGCTTTTGAAATCTCAGCAGTTCCAAGGGAAAATAAATCATGGAAGATGGTGAACTAGGGTTCTAGAAACACAAGCCCCAAACTCCCCAAGGTGCACAGAACTAGGGTTACCTTTCTCTGGACCCAGGCAATGGTCTTTAGGAAAATGTAACAGAACATGATGCAAGGAAACGAGTTTGAATCTAACATGACAAATACTCATAATAAAGCATATATTTCTTTTGACATCTTGTCCTCAGGTACTATGTACGTGTGATCATTTATCTCTGGAGGTTCTCCATTAAAACTACTTATATTTGTTAAATGCACAATAAGCCATTACAAAATGCAAAAAGTGTTAAACTTATTTGCTATGGAGAAATGTGTCTGATAGCACCTTAGATGAACTTTTAATAAGCTGTTTATTACAAAATGGCATGTGTATTTCCTTGAGGAACCTAAAATCCGGGGTGTGACTATCAAAAAATTACTGAAAGTGAATTGTATCAAATCTATGGAACTGATCTATCAAGGACTGGCGCACACGCGCACACACACACACACACACACACATTCATTGCTCAATGGCTCTAGCATCAAATTATTTACTCAATAGGTGAAGATGCCATCGCAGAGCCAGCAATATGGACACAGGTGCCACCACCTCACCCCATCCACACAGTGTTTTCTAATGGAGTCAGTTCACACATATTCAAATAAGGACACGTCAAATTACACACATGCACCTAGAAGCAACCATGTCATCAGGCTACAGTAGAGGAGAAATGGGACTTCAGAACCTCTCCGTCAACTGAGCTGAGCCATCAGCAACATTCAGCTTCTCCTCTCTCCTTGAATGCTCTCCATTCCAGGTGGCCATTTCAAGAGTTCTACAACTAAGTACTGCTCGGGTTTCCTTTTTTCCTCCTCCCTCCCAATCCCTTTCCTTTTTAGTTGCGTCCTTTAGACTGCAAGCTTGAAGACAGGGATTTATGGGTATCTGTAAGGCCGTTCCATGAGCTTTCCCCCTTCTTTTTGCTGAACAGCAGAGAAAATACTTTAAACGTAGGAACCAGCCCTTGTTCAATGTATGGAGGCATAACACATTCGCTGTGACACATCCCAACCGACAATTATAGCCTAGGCAAAATTCAGAATTCACTACCTATATTAAAAAGCTGGATTCGAAGACTACTTAACCATTGGTACCTCTTAAAGGACATATGGCCTATTATGGTAAAGATCAATATGTTGCTCTTTGGGAGATTCTTTATGTGCAATGTTTTTAAAGAGACAATGAGAAAACCTTGTCAAGAATTTACATGCAGCCTGGCAACAGCAAAGTGATAAAACACACAACTGTTCATTTGCGCAATTTACTGCAGGAGGCCATGGCATTATGTTACTCTGGAATGTGTGCATTCTCTGTAAGCCTTACAGTTTAAGGCCTTGATACACAGATTTGGAGTTGGTTAGGCTGAAGGTTTACACTTGCCCATTTTTATCCATTCTGCCTACAATATAAATGTCACTAATAGCCGCCACAATTATCAATGAAACCTCAAGAGTTTTAAATTGATGTGTGGATTAAAACACAAGATAGCTTTTCAGCTCACTCTGAAAAGTCTAAAGTAACGCAGCATTCATTTGAGAGCTCCTATATGCCATTTGTGATAATAAAAGGATAGCAGTAGATTAGAACACTCTGAAATAATTAACGTGTTTATCAATACTCTTCTGTCATTTTCTTCTTGGAGATTCTGGTTTTTAATTAGCCCTTCCCCACTTGGTCCCAAATATTTTCTTTTACTGGACGGCTTTTGCAGAACTTAGCAGTTTCCCCTCTTCTACCCTCTCCTTTCAAATCTCCAAGGCTTGAAGTGTTATTGATCTGGTACTATTGCTCATCAGCACCACAGTCACTGATATACTGGAAACCAATACAAAGCAGCCTCTGAATTGCGGTTCCCGGGGATCAAATAACCCCAGCCCTAGTAAAGCTCTGTTTATAAAGGGAATGCTGGTTAATCAGATAACAAAAAATTAAACCTTGGTATCCTTAAAATTAGACGTGGTTGATTTGACTCTCAAATTTTAATCAAGATGGGATATAATCAGCTGCACAGAAAGAATGGATTCTCTGGACATTTCACATGACTTTTACTATATTGCTAACATATCTGTTAGGGAAAAGCAAAATGCCACCGCCCATCTGCTTGTTCCCCCAGGGATTTTTCAGGAACCACATTAATTTCTTTAGCTCCCCCATCTACAAGAAGGCAATGGCAATGGCTCCATCCAATATCTTCTGCTTTGTCACTGTGAAGATAGATGATGCCAACTTTTATTACAGGGTGGATAGTTCTGACCCCTGAGCCACTTTGTGCAGAATGAAGTAGCCCCTAAGAATCTGGAAGCAGGTTACTCCAGCCTTTTATAACCATCAGTTGCAGCAAGTATGTTGTAAGTAGCAGGTGCAGCAGGGATCCATGGCAGTTTGGGGAAGAATCAGGGGTCCTGTGGACCTTGTTCTAGGGTATCAGGGTTCATTCTCCTTCCATCCAATGAATGAACTCCATGTATTTCCAGGAAGGGCTCCATGCATCACAAACTGAGCCTCCCGCCACTAACTGCCTACTCCTTGGTCACCAATGGAGCAGGTGCGTGGGGCTGCAATTCAGACCACAGTGTGCATCTGTGTGCTGCAAAGATGTCCCTCATTTGTAGTGCACAGAGACATTCTGTGAGATGGATTGTGAGGAGGAGATGGTGAGACAAAGACGCATGGTGAGGACTGAGAGAGAGGGATCTTGGTTCAGGGAACTGAACAGCCCAATCCCATACTTTGATCTTGACCTCGGACACTTGCATGAATGGTTGGCAACCACTAAGTCATAAACAAGAACCATGATCCAGAGAAATTATGCAACAATGTCTGTCCGCCAAGACTCCCACTATGTTAAAGTAGTAAAAACCTCTCCATACACATAAAAGGCAATATTCTCTGCTTGATCTTTATACTGGGTACTTTCCATTCTCAGCAAGTCCTCTACAAAGACTGAGCAGCAGAATACATACTACTGAAATTAATCTGTGCTGGTTCCAAAATGAGTTGAAGGAAGACTAGTTTTCCTCTCAAGACAAAAGTAGGAGGAAAGGCTTTAGAAATTCTAGCCTGGCTTTTAAATCTTTTTAGAAAGAAATATCGCAACTTTCTTTGTGTGTGTATGGGTCTTGTGTTTATGAGCAAGGAAGAAAATCTTTAGAAAAGCATATTTTCTTTGACTTTTTATGATATAACTGGTATCTGGAGGGGGAAGAAAAATCAATACCGAACACTAAGAGAAATGTATAATAAATGTTCTTCCTCTGCAAAATAGGAGGCAGCTTTCCATAAAGTAACTAGAAAGTAAACCATTCCACATGTAGCAGTTTTACAGATATTAGAAATATACATAGACAATTGTAGCCTGTAAATATATTATGAGGAAATCAGCAAAACCCATGCTTTTAAAAAACACATACAGAATAACACAACTGATTCAAGAAAATGTGAGAACAAAGCCAAGCTAACCTTAAATCGTGTACTATATTATTGCATAAGAGCCTGACCAACTTAAGAGTTATTAAGTATGCTGTATGTTTGCAAAATCAGATCAACTGAACACAGCATTGCTCTGATGAGCTTTAAAATGCACACAACAACAAAAGGTGAAAGAAGTTAGATTACATTAGTCTAATTATGAGGCAGATGGTCAAGGCTATAAAACTCTAAGTCAAACGGCCACAGTTGGGGTTTCTTGTTCCTCTGACAAGTCTACCAAGACCTATGAAACAATGGTTTTAAAAGCAGCTGTTAGAAACTTATGCAAAATGTGTCATCACCACAGTCTTCTGAGGAGCAGTTCTCAAAAACAATCAAATAGCGAACTTTGATCCGCAAGGCGTTGTTTTTACTCTTCACCACACATTGCCTACAATAAGGCAGGCATGAACTCAAAACATCTTCCGACTGCTTTTAACTTGCTAGAGAAGTGTGTGAAAGATCAAAGAAATGGGAATCAATAGGATTAAGGAATGGAAATTCTTTTGCTTTGCTGCAGGGCACTAGTCCATATTTACTTAATGCATTGTTCAAGTGAACAGAACATCTCCAAAGCGAGAGTACATTCTCAACGGAATAAGGCTGGTTCAAAGTTCGGAAGCAATGTTCCAGCACACTCCTCTCCTGTTGCCAAAGGCCAACGGATCCAAGTGAAAGGGCACTGACCCGAGGGAATGAGACAAAACTATTTTTTATAGAAATCATTTATCCTTCTGCTGGAGAATAAGAAGTTACCTAAACCAGGCTTAAAGGTACAATCAGCCTGGGCTCTCTACAGAGTTGAAATCTCCATGGAAGTACAATGCACAATAATCACATAGCCCTACTGCCCTAACAAATGTTTAATTAGCTGAACCGCTTCATTTCCCCCCCTTTTTTTTGCAGCTGTAATTTTACATAGTAATAAAAGTCTCTGATGGCATTTTTCTCATTATCTTTTTCATTTTGATAACTTGTATTTATTCTTTCAACTAGGATTGCGAAATTCATTTCCAGGCACTTAATTTCTCTTTCTTAACCACTTTTCACTCATTTCTGCTTACCCCTTAGCTCTCGTACTTTTCATCTTCAGCATCACAGACTGCAGTGTGGAAGAAGAACAGTTGCTAAGTTTTACCATTTATGCCTGCACAGTCTCAAAAAAGCTCTTTAAAAGCTAACATCCTGACTAGCACTGTTGTCATTGCCCAGAGCCATCACGAAACCAGTGGCTGATAAAGTCATAAAAAGGACAAAGAAGCAATCACCTGCAACAGTCATCAATTCCCTCTGATAGCAGAGAAGGAAGAGAGGAAGTCTGCAGGAGACATGTCAATTCAGAGGTCATTCCAGAGAGTGCAACAAGCAATATTTAAAGCAGTCTTCACAAAGTCACAGCATCCTGCTAATCGCTTGGCTGCCTTATGAGACCATTTTAATCAAGTTCAATTCCCCCTATTAGCTATTTTTACCATCTTTAAGGAAGAATGGGGCACTTCTTTCTAAAGAGCTGTAAGTAATTACTGGGGATATTTCCTGTGGCAAGAAGATACAGAATGATCCTTCCCCATGGCTTGCAGCATGCCTGTCATCACTAGGCAAAGAGGTGAAAACGTTGGCAGGCACAAACCCACACAATACATTAGGACTCACTATTTGGGTTCATGCTGGTGTTTCGCTGATGGGTTTAAACCCAGACAACCAACAAAACAACTCCTTTTGTTCCCTGTGTGATCCTAAGTCCACTCTCTTCTCCTTCCAACCTTCTTGCTCCTGGGCGAACAGCAGAGATGGAGTGCGAGTTTTGCCCTCATCCCAAAAGTTTCCTTAAGTACCGCACTTTTTCTTGTAGAAACAAAGGACAATCTTTTACTTACACGAAAGGAAGTAAAGGGGTATACTCAGGGGCACCAGTATGGATAGTGATTAAATCTGCCCTTGGTATGGACTGATAGAAGCAGCTCCTTCCCATCATGTTGACAGAAGCTTGGATACTTTGTGCTTGGATACTTTGTGCAATGGGAGCTCCTGCTATATACTGCACCAAATAAACAATGCTCTAAATCTGGGACCCTATTGCACTATATCTCCCAGAGCCTGAGCCTTCCCACATGAAACTGCCCATAAAAGACGCCCCCCCCCAACATTCCTCCACACACTCTTGTGCACCTCCAAAGAGGGCACAGCTATGAAAATAGGGGGCTTGATTCTGAGAGGCCGTTGTATGGTTTGGAAAAAGACATCTTACTCCCACCCCTTGCTCAAATGGTAAAACAAGATGTCAGAGATGGATGGTGTGCTAGGGAAGACGTATCAAGAAGAGGAGAAATGGGTTTGGGGAAAAGTCAGGAGCTCTAGATTGGATCACTACTCCTATCAAATATGACAACAAGTACAAATAACTCCCAGAGATGGATTCGATCTTCGTTACAGTCTAGAATGACTAAAAAGCATAATCCACAGCCAAAGATGTAAAGAAGAACTTGCATCACAAAGTCATGTTTAGTGAAAATGTAAAGAAAGAAAGAAAGAAAGAAAGAAAGAAAGAAAGAAAGAAAGAAGGAAAAGGGAAGCACAGTGCAAATGCTTGCCCAAAATGCTGACAAACTCCTGGGTTTCATTTGACAACTAGCTAGAGAAGGGGCTTCTAATGTCTGAAATTCAATTATATCTTCCAAAGAAAGTTATTCTATCATGCATCATTGTTTCATTTGCAATCTATTATGTAGTATTTGCAGAGATGACCCAGAGCATTTGTTTCGAGGCAAGTAACATTACATTATTGCTACTGCTCTATTAAGGTCTTTAAGCAGAGGCTTGACAACCATATGTCAGGAGTGCTCTGATGGTGTTTCCTGCTTGGCAGGGGGTTGGACTCGATGGCCCTTGTGGTCTCTTCCAACTCTATGATTCTATGATTCTATGATTCTATTCAGAATGCCAAACGCAGAGGCGGCAACGTTTAAAGCCTTCTGCAGTTCCTACCTTGCTTTGAGTCCAAAGCGTCCAGTTTGTTGTCTTCCTTCAAAGAAGAAGTAGAATCTATACTATTGTCTTGCCTGAGAACAAACAAGAATACATTTCAGTTAGTATACCTTTTATGTTTATGAAAAGAAGCATTTCATATCCATACTCTCGTGCCCCCACATTTCATTGTTTGCCTTATTTTGTGAAGCAGGCCTTGCTTATTCAGGCAGTAGTACTGATAATTTCCTTTCTTCTCAAGTTTCATATGGCTGCCTGGAATGTAATGCTCTTTCCCCAAAGATATAGGGCTAGTCCAGTTAATGTAATTATATCACTTACAGGGTAAGCAGTGCCTGCCCAGTTGGGGACACAACTATAGGAATATGTCAATTTTTCTCAATCAGAAATCAGTTTTAACTGCACCCAAGAAGAGTAAACAGAACAGAAACTGAGTGTTACAGAAAACATTGTTTTGAGGACAAGAAAACATCTCTGGCTAGCCCAATACACAACTCACCAGACGACCAAAGCTATACCAATACTTCCCCTACCATGTAACAAGATCTTGTTTTTATCAAAGGCAGAGCAAAATAACTCCACTAAGCCCGATAAGAAAATTCAACTAATCCCTCCATCGTGGACTCAGGCAGTATGCATTCGTAAATAAACCATATATCCTAAAGACAAAAAAAAAAAAAAACCTACAAGTGTCGATTTTACTTTCCCCCTCAGTGTGGTGGAGCAATCCAAATTAGACATGTTCTAAGGCAAGGAAAACATCCTCTTCTGAAATGCCAGCCTAACTCTTGCCTTCCAATGAGAAGAACCACCTACTGTATTTTTCGCCCTATAGGACGCACTTTTTCCCCTCCAAAAATGAAGGGGAAATGTGTGTGCGTCCTATGGGGCGAATGCAGGCTTTCGCTGAAGCCTGGAGAGCAAGAGAGGTCAGTGTGCACCGACCCCTCTCGCTCTCCAGGCTTCAGGAAGCTATCCGCAAGGCCTGGGAGCCCGGCGGGAGTTCCCGTGGGCTCCCAAGGCTTGTGAATAGCAGCCTGTTCTGTGGGCTGGGGTCAGGGGAAGCTCGGGCTTCCCCTGTCCCAGCCCCATGCCTGGGGGAGAAATAATTTTTTTTCTTTATTCCCCCCCCAAAAAAAACTAGGTGCACCCTATGGGCCGGTGCGCCCTATAGGGCAAAAAATACGGTAGTTGGAGTTGTCTGACCAAGCCGGTAACCTACAGAGATATGCTGCATTAAGGTGACAAGAGTTGGAGCTACAAGTTCCAGGTACAAATCTTGGTTCAGTCAAGAACTCCATGGTTTATTTCACACAGCTCACCCCCTAAAGATTAATAAGGGATCTGCTTTGCAGGACAGTTGTAAGTATTACTGAGATAAAAGTTATGTTAAATGCTTTGAAAACTTGGAAAGTACACTGTATTAACAGTATTGTATCCCCAGAGCTGCCTTATACGAAGCCAGACCACTGGCTCATACAAGGTTTCCTACAGGATTATCACCAGTAGATGTTTGGGATCAAACCCAAGACCACCTTAATGCAAAGCATGTGGTTTACTGCTGAGCTACAGTGCCAAAAAGTGATGCATTCCTTGTCCATTTCCCCAGAATTGCCCCCGCTGTTTTTCCAAAAGAAGAACCTCACTGAAGAACGAGAAAGAAAAAGACAGCCCCCAAACAGCCCTGAGAACATCTGTGCTTGTGAAAGATACAGAACATCACCAAAAGAGACCCTAACTGTGAAGTATCTTTGGTTGATGCCACTGCTATCAGGGGAAGAATCTGGAGAGCAAGTTCCTTGAAAAACATCAATAGGAGGAAAGAGCTCTCCAGTAAGGCAACTGCAGAAACACACAGAGAAAACCTGTGGACGATAGGGGAACTGGGCACAGACGCCCTGCCGAGGGATTAGGAATCTGCCCCACAAAACAGCAGGTCCTAACTCTACTTACAGTGTTCATTGACGCTGCTGCACAGCAATGTATTTATAATTGCTGAGATTAATACTACAACCACACTACTGATCATTAATTTTAAAAGTAATCTAGTCTCTGCCAGAAAAGGGGAAAAGGTATTTTCAGACATGAACCCACTGGATCATTAAGACAGAAGAGCAAGGCAAGGATGGAACCTGCAAAACCGCAAGGTGCAGCCAAACTCCCAGACTTAAGAGGGCAAATCTTCAAAACAGCCTTACGTATTACACAATCTGCAGAAAAATTATAAAAAGATCACTGAACCCACATTTTGGGGTGGGATGGCGTGATGCTGGTTTAGCTATTTCTACACGTTCTCACCAAAATTTGACACATTATTTTCTGTTTCAAAGGATGGGGAAATAACTCAGAAAGTGCTAAAAAGGATGACATTTCATCTGCTATCTCACCATGATGTTCAACTGTCTTTATACAAAGCATGAAAGCAAATGAAAGACTGTAAGACACACTTGAGGAAACAGGATACAGCTCTCCACAGGATTTCAAAATCATGGAAGGCAAGTCCAATTGTTGAGTTTAATGAGCATTTTAGCCATAAAATTATTTTATATTCATCTAACCAATTTCATACCTCAGCTACTTTGTCTAAAATTTGTAATGTACGTATTATGTTAATATGCACACAATCAAAGCATCCAGCTTGCAGGGAGGAGTTAAATTTAACATTACAAGGTTAGTGTCATCCTAACTTACATTTCAGAGATTTAACTCTAATGGCGTGTGTCCACCTCTGTTAAGTATTGTAACTAAACTATGATTAAATATAATTTTTAAAATGGGGGTGCATATATAAGCGATTCATTTTTAACCAGATCCCTGAAAAATAATCTATCTGTCCTCAAAGAAGAAACCTTTTTCCTGCTGCCCCTGGATTTGTCTCCACAAGCCTCCTTGACTAACTTAATAGGGAAGCTGCCAAATATTCCAGTGGCCTCCTCTCATCTCAATTCACTTCTGTTCAGTACCAGGTGCTGCTACAGATTCAGCCCTCAAGGTAAAGTTTTCCTATTGAACCCCCAAACCTATGAAATTATTATAGATATTAAGACATTTACGCAGAACATATAGATGTGTGTGTGCAGGGCAGCAATCATTTCATGATTATGAAGGAGAAAATTGATACTGGGTTCGGAATGAAACATTGGCTTCCATTCAAAAAAAACAACAGCAACTAAACTTCAAGCCTTTAAGGTTTCAGAGGTAAATTTCAAACCTATGAGAAGCAGAGTCATGAAAGAGCACCAAATGTGGGAAAATAAGTTGGATTTAGGCTACAGCAAGCATTTTGGGCAGAAGGCTATATTCACCCTTGGCCAACCCACTGGGAAAATACATGATTAGCAGAGCGGAAGAGGAAACTCTCCTCCCACAGCTGATGGGGATGCAAACTGGCCTCTCCTTGTTCATCAAATCAATCATTTGATGAATGAGGAGGAGGTGGTTTGCATCCCCACCAGGGTGCTGGGCTGGGCAGACAGGCTGAAACTTCCTTGGCACAAAATTTTATTTATCCCGATCCAGAATATCTGAAGCTGTTTGGTGCAAGGTGTGTACAACCCTGAGCATCGGTACAGACCTAGCGCACTACAGGAAAAGGAACCTGGCAATCATGTCCCTGGCATTCGTACCCCTCATTCCTAACCAACCACAGGATGAAGACATCAGCTCCTAAATGAGTGATAATGCTGTTATCAAGTATTGCTCATTGGCAAACAGGGATGATCTGGCACAGTCATCTGGTCTGCAGAAGGAAAATGTATCAAAGGATATCTGCTCTAGGATAATAAAGCTCCTGCTGTCCGGAGTCATCCTGTCAAATTTTGTTCAGGAATCAGGATTGTTCATTTGGCAAGAGCCTCAACAAGAAGTTCTTGATTTCCAATTATGCAGCTTATTTTAAATGCTGGTCATGGAAATGGTGGTTTTCAACATATGAGCTGTACCAAGTTTTCTGACCCCTGAACAGCGCACTGCAAAACTAGCTGCAGAAACTATGCGGTACCTGCTTGAGATCAACCACTTCGGTAGAAAGGTACACATACTAATACAGACAATCTGCTGTCCAAAACACTTTGTCACTGAGCAATTCTTATGCTGTCATAAAAAGGCTTCTTGATGTAATGGCGCAACTCTTAAGTTTAATACACATGCATTTTCTGCCATCTTGTGGCCAAATGTTGCATAGATTAGATGCTCTTTTTTGGATGCTTAGTATTAACCAAAATAACTAGCTGATATGCGAGTCACTTAGTACATCTTGTTCACACTGACAGCACAATCACATGCATTTCTACTCAGAAGTAATCCCCACTGAGCTCAATGGGATTTACTCCCAGGCAACTGTAAAAACTGCCGTTTAAATGTTGATTCCCACCAAGAAGGACCCATACTATGCTACTCACAAGCAGCCACCGAAAAGAGGCTTGGTAACCCAATAACTTCTCCCAACCCTATTACATAACAAAATGAATCAAAATTCTCCACGCTGTTTTAACCCTAGCAATTAACAGCCAACCTAAAATGAAAAGATCCTATTTGCAGCCATGGGATGGGCAACAAGCCGATTACAGGCAACTCCCATTTTGCACATGTTCAAAGCATGCATGACCCTGAACATGTGTGACATTTTCAGACCAGGAAGAGCATGGAACAAGCTCCATCAGCACGCACAATTACCCGAATGCAAACCAACCAACCCCCACAAATCGGGGGTTACCTGTATGCAAACAGTCTTGGATTTGGTTGGGTTTCCTACTTTATGCCGTGATTTAAGAGCAGCTGCATACATACCCTTGTACCGTAGGATCTGATGGAGGATACAATTAGGATTCTCTGTTCAAGGCACTTTGGGCTTCAGAAGATTTTGCCAATTTAACTAACATTTCAACGGATCTCACCAAGGCTCACTGGGTTTTTACAAATGCTCAGCAAGGTTCACGAAAGTTTCACCTGAAGTTTCATTTCACTAATGTTTTGCAAATTTCCCCCAGATTTTTTGCAGCGGTTCAGCCAAGATTTCACCATGGGTTTATCTAGGATTTCACCAACACTTCAAAACGAAATTGTCAGCACAAACTTTTAAATAGACTCTCAGAGGACAGTTAAATTAAATTTGCTCATCACAATTACTTACTGGCTGATAGATTCAACTGCTGTCTTCTCTTCCCCACCATTAGCCTCTTCATCACTGTCGGAGTCATTTTCATTCTCACCTTGAAATACAACGTCAATGTGAGATGCTATACAGTGTGGCAGCATTTTTCTGCCTCATTAATACATGCATCAGTAAATACCGTTATGACTGTCAAATGAAGAGACACAGCCCACCTGCTTGACTAAGGTACTCAACAGAAACCATTTGGAGCTGTAGTCTTTTGAGGGAGAGAGTGGCCTGAGTTTTGAAGATGGCTGGCAATAAGGAACCATAGCACGTCCCAAGGCTATATTGTTTGGAGAGCCTGGGGGAGGGGGGGGATACGATGCTTCAATGAGCAGCAATAAGTGTCTGGCTGCTTCTCTGCACCTCCATGGTTAACTTGGTATCTTTGCAAGCAAACAACTATTACAAACACAGAGTAAGTCCTCAGTACTTTCACCACAAGGAAAAAGAATCCATGTAAAAGGTTTCCCCGGGAAATTTCTGTCACTCGGGTAAGAGAAAAAAATGCCACCCAGTCTTTGCCAAAGGAATAATATAAAATTAACCCTATCTTCTCTTACAACACAGCCATTTATATTAAACTATTGTAGTATTATTTGTACAGAAAACAGGTATTCCTTTTTCTTATGCAAACAGACATACACACACATACGTAATACAGGCCACAGAGTCTGTTCAAGGACCTGTTCTCATACTAAAGCTCTGAGTAGTCTATAGATAGAACATATATTCAGCAACACATTTAAAAGTGTTGGGCAACTTCTGTAACAGAAGTTCAGCACTAAAGCTAAAAGGGTAACTAACAAGGAGGAGATAAAACTATTTTAAAAAATTAAGCACGATCATAGGTAAAGGTAAAGGGACCCCTGACCATTAGGTCCAGTCGTGACTGACCCTGGGGATGCAGCGCTCATCTCGCTTTCTTGGCCGAGGGAGCTGGTGTACAGCTTCCGGGTCATGTGGCCAGCATGGCTAAGCCGCTTTTGGCGAACCAGAGCAGCACACGGAAACGCCGTTTACCTTCCTGCCGGAGCGGTACCTATTTGTCTACTTGCACTTTGACGTGCTTTCGAACTGCTAGGTTGGCAGGAGCAGGGACTGAGCAATGGGAGCTCACCCCGTGGTGGGGATTCGAACCGCCGACCTTTTGATTGGCAAGTCCTAGGCTCTGTGGTTTAACCTACAGCGCCACCCACATCCCTAGAACAAACATACAATGCTCATTAATGTAGATAACTGATGGAAAGCTTATGGGGGTTGGTTTTCCAGTCCTCAGAACAAAAAGGAAAGCCTAATATAACCACAAGTAGATCTCTTGTGAGGAGCTCCTCTGAACACTGTAGCCATTAATTTTAAGTCTCTCTATAACAGGGTTCCAAGTCATGACTGCCCTCATTTGCTCAAAGCTTCTCTTCCGATCTATCTTCTAGGTAATTGCCATGCTTCTCTGCTACATCAAGCAACCATGTACAGTACTTGGTGTTCATTAGGAGCTCCAATATGAGACAGTATTGCCTACCTTCAAGAATTCTCAATAACTTCTTCTCAGACAGGAGCTCCAACTGTTCAAGACAAAGCCTTTTGATTTCTTCTATTGAACAGCCCTATGGAAAGAGAGGTGGGACAGTTATAAACAGTGCCTGCAATTAGCCAGATGCCATGCGCATTTTGCACCTGACTATCGGACACTTGCGACCAAGCAATCCTGGTTTAAGGTGCCATTTGGCACCTAGCTTTTATATGTGAGTTTCTAACACTAGTTACTCACTAAGGGCCAGATTCAACTAGTTGAGCTAGCAGGAGCCAACAGGAGGAGTCCTGTCTCTGGAAGAGTTGGGAGAACTTCCAAAATGAGAGGTTGGGGAAGAGAGGAGACCACTCCGTTCAGTGGCAGGTGATCTCCTTGGTGCTTGTTTGAATTTCACCTTTCTTTTTTTTTAATAAAGACGACAACAACATAATAATAACATCATTATCATCAGTTTTTTATTTGTACCCCGCCCTCCCCAGCCAGGTACATACTATCTGGACACTAAACCCAAACTTAAAACATTATGATCTGAATTAGAAATTTTATTAAGACGGTTTTGCAAAAAGACAATGTTAAGGAAGTAGCAAAGTATGCCAGATCTGAACCCTGGCTTTCTTCTTAGGTTTCGCAAGGCAGGCATTGCAGCCAGTTGTGCTCTCTTCTGACGGAAGGCATTCTAATCCAGCAGGGGCATATGTTGGCAGAAAGGGTAGCCCCCTGTGCACATACCCCAATCTGCTCAAGAGCGCTGGGGGACCCTTTGAACGGTGTGGCAAGCGCAGCAGGGGATTGCAGGAGAAAGGAAGAAACTGCAAAAATTACCTCTCCCCTCTTTTTCACCTCATGGACGTTTCTGCTGGATCAAACAGCCTTCTGTCAGTGGGGGTCATACAATTAAATACAACCCAAGGGCACTTCTCAAATTCCCTAATGCTGGCAGTTGGAGATGGATTATTCCAGCCACTGTTTCTCATTAGTATTGCTTAAATAAAAAGAAGAAGAAGAAGAAATACAACTTTCTGAAAAATATCACTCTCCCTAATAAGGCTTTCGGTATCTATGTTTTCACTCCTAGTAGGTAACTGTGTTAAGTCTGCTGCAGCAAAAGAACAGTCTTGTGCCATAAGATTCTTAAACCTTTAATACATTCTTTTTCATAAAAATCATTCAGAAGACTTCTTGTTCGTACTTTACACTTAACAGAGAATTTTAGTGGACCAGCCCGTGAAGAATTATACAGGTAGCTTAAACCTTAATTATGAGAAACGGGGCTAATACAGATATAATGTAACAAGTATTATGAGGCACCAGCCTTGGAAACACACTTTCCTGTAACACTACCCCTTCCTGGAATTAAATTTTATCATTTGCCAGCATCAAATTAACTGTGATTAAGGCTAACCAAGGTTTCCCTTACCCTAAGATTTAAACCCACTTCAAATTCTTGTATAATTTATTAAAATGTGCTTCCCTTTTCTTTATTTTTTTGGAAGAGTTAAGTGAAGAGAAAATAAAATTCAACCAGTAAGTTTTGTTGATGTTCCTGAGAAGAACTGAGAAGTTAGAACAATGGAGTACCAGGCTCCTTCCCCGATGCAGGCTGGCTTTTCCAAGAAGCATAGCATTGCAGATCAATGTTCTGTTTTGAATTACCTTATCCAGCTGTTAGTGGTCCCTCAAAAAAGCAGTATGTCACATTTATTAATCCCTCATTTGCCTTTGACTCCATTGATTGGCATCATCAATAAGAGTAGCAGCTAATTTTTTGCAGGCCAAGGAACATATTGACATATGACCAACCTTCCCAGGTCTGCAGTACAAAAGTGGACACAGCCAACTGGTTGATATTTCCTACCATGAGACCCATGACATAATTTCTGCTAAAGATGCCTAAATGGACATTGAACATGTAAAGAATTCCAAGTCTTCATTCTGGTACATTAAAATTGCATCTGATCACAAAAAGTGTTATTTTCCTGCAGGAATTAATCCCCCCCCCATTAGACATGCATTTACCTAGTTCAGATTTTGAACTATGTCCACAGAACAGCTGACCAGTAAATTATTTAATAAGCCAACATATGACCATCTTTGTGTATGTTGATCAGGCCAGATTAAAGACATTGTGTGTTGTATTTTTTATTGCCCCTTATACAATCCACCTAGGAAGATTCCTCTATTCATTCAAATATTTTTTTAAGGAGGTCAATCAGATTATTTCAAAAACACAGGGCTGCAAGCTGATTTATACAACTCTGTAATCTAAAGGATAACATTCTCACTACCTGCACATGTAGAGCTATGGGCTACGTTACAGATCCAAAGCAGTGTTGACTCTGCCAAGGAGATTTTTAAAAATCTAAATTATCTGGGGAGGGTTATAATTTTAAGTTTCAATAATTTGCAATTCTAAAATTTGAAATGTTTTAAACTTATCTTGAATTGTCTTTTTGTGTGTGTGTGTGTGTGTGTGAGATTTATATTGTAATAGACACTGGCTACATGCAACAAAAATCTGACTGAGTTAACAGTGTTTTAGCATTTCCAGCAATTCCCATTTTCCCAAACTCCTTGCCTGATGGATTCAAGATTCAACATAATCCCATATCTATGGTAGACTTGTAAACAGCCACCTGTCTGATTACTTTCAAGTAGGCTGAGAAGTTCCTACAAATTTCTCTTCACAGGCTTTTTAGGCTATGAACATGGGAGCATGGGAGAACAAGGACTAACTAAAACATTTGCGAGGTAGCAACATTTCCAAGGCTGCTCTATGGAGTCTACCAGGGTCAGACCACCCATGAGGCAAGGTGGGGCAACTGCCTCAGGTGGTAGCAGACACTCCAAGTGTCCCTATTTTCCAGGGCCAGTCCCAGATTTAGAGAAGCCTCCCTGGTTTCTGATTTGATTTGTCCTGATTTCCCTTGGGACATTCCTATTTTAATCGGAGAAATGTTGGAAGATATTGGAGTTATGTGAACCCGAGCCAAGGAGATATACACACACCCTTGGAAGGCATCTAAAGGCAACCCTGTATAGGGAAGTTTTTTTAATGTTTAATGTTTTATATATGTTGGAAGCCACCCAGAGTGGCTGGGGCAACCCAGTCAGATGGATTGGGTATAAATAAATTGATATTAATATTAATAGGACACCCCTGTTTTCACTTGAGAAATGTTGAGAGGGTATGTGGTAGAGGGCAGCAGATCTAGCTTCCAAGCAATGCATGGCCCGCTGCCGCAGTAACAGCAATGGCCGTGGCACATTCCTTGGAGGCCGGATCTGCTCTCTCTGTAGCCCTGCTATGCTGCCTATACAGCAGCCTCTCTGCCCTGGAGGGGGGAGGTGCCGTTTTGTAGTTTTCCTCAGGTGCCAAAATGTATTAGGCCAGACCTGGTGTCTGCAGTGGAAGAGGAGCTCAGTGTAGCTGGCAGGCAAAGTGTTGCTATGGAATCTGCTCTGCAGCCCTAGGGATGAACTACAAGAAAAACAGCATGGTTAAGGGAGCGTTTCTGTTCCCAGTCCAAATTTTAGAAAATCTTTTTCTCCAGAAATGTTGAGACAAGATTAGTATATCATAAAAATGAACATACGTGCTTTTCTTGCCAACTGGAGCATTCTATGATATTCTTATAAATAGCCAGAATACTTATTGTGTGGTTTTTACTTTATTTTTAAATCCTGCCTGCCCCCAGCTTCAAGTTGCTTTATTTTCAAGCAAGGATGTCTTAAGTCTGTTGGGAGTAGTGTTCTTTTTTAATTATAAATTACTTATTTATAAACTGCCAGGCTGCCACACTCATCTCTGATGGTGTTATGTCCAATTAAAGAAAAAATTCAACATCCCTGTGGAAATGCTATAATTATATACTACATTATTCCATATGCCACAGTAATTAAGGTTATTTACATTTGCATCCTGCTTCATTCCGAGGGCTCTACAACAGTATTTATTAAAACACATACATACACAAATATATAAACTCTGAAAGCCTTTGTAGCAGTCTGATCTCAGTACTTGCTGAACTAGCTTGTAAGTGCATAGGATACACAGTGAATAGAGCTGCAAGTTTTAATTGGCAAGTTAATCAATTAAAGCTTAGGTTGATTAATCAGTGCAATACCATTTTAACAGGCAAGAGTACATTTTAATTGGTGGGGTTTTGAGGGCACATGCCCATTTTTAAGGCTATTCAAATTCTCGTGTGCTACTGTAACACTCAAAGAGAAAATGGACTCATATGTTTCCTTTCAACAATGTGAAGCAGCTTTTGTTTATTACAATGTTTCATAAACTAATGATAGCTGAGACACACTTTCTTAGGGAATGAAAACTTAACCCAAACGAAACACTAATAATAAGTAGCACTTACCAGTGGAGGAACCCTCTCTCTATGGGAGTCACTTTCTCAGTGTGCCTTCTGGTTGGGAAAATGCAGCCCCTAACTAGTAACTCATGCAGAGAATTGATGTGCTACCTCTTCTGTGGCAAGAAGGGCACTTAGGGCACACAGAAGCCTTTCTCTAATGCATTAGGTAAAGGTAAAGGTACCTCTGCCCATACGGGCCAGTCTTGCCAGACTCTAGGGTTGTGCGCTCATCTCACTCTATAGGCCGGGAGCCAGCCCTGTCCGCAGACACTTCCGGGTCACGTGGCCAGCGTGACAAGCTGCATCTGGCAAGCCAGTGCAGCACACGGAACGCCGTTTACCTTCCCGCTGGTAAGCGGTCCCTATTTATCTACTTGCACCCGGGGGTGCTTTCGAACTGCTAGGTTGGCAGGCGCTGGGACCGAACAACGGGAGCGCACCCTGCCGCGGGGATTCGAACCGCTGACCATGTGATCGGCAAGTCCTAGGCGCTGAGGTTTTACCCACAGCGCCACCCGCGTCCCTTCTCTAATGCATTACATAGGGCAAATTAGAAGTGCTCTTGAACAACAGAATTTAGGAATTCCTGAGTTACTAAATTATAAATTATCATACTCCACTTTCAGTTTCTTAGAAAGATACCTACATTAAATGTTGTTAAAACTGCAAATTGATTTAGCAATAATCAATTAACCAACCCGTTAAAAAAAGAAGATGCATCAACTAAAATTTCTCTAATTAGTTGATAGTCCCAACGTGGAAAATTGTGCCATTCTGAAACACAGGCCATGGTATTATGCTGGTGAAAGCCAATATTTAAACATGAGATTTGAATATAGGTTCCTTCTTTATGGCAATGTGATGTGACATATGTATGTTTGTTTGTTTGTTATTGTATATTCTACCCTTCTCTCCCTGAGCTGTTTCCACACCAGCAGGTAATTATAAGAACTACAATGTGACTGTAAGAATGGGTGCTGATTTTTCTCTTCCCTCCTTATTCCCTTTCCCTTTTGTGTCATGACTTGTAGACTGTAAGCCTGCAGGCAGGCTTGTTTTTATTGATCTTACATAAACTGTGGGAGCCTGTACAGTTCAAGAGCAGGATAATAACACCTTCCATAAATATTTAAAATATAAATGCAGGCATGGCTCCTTAAAAAGTGAATCTGACTCCTTTATATTTTTAATTGAATCTACGCATGTACAGTCGTACCTTGGTTCTGAAATGCCTTGCGACTTAAAACGTTTTGGCTCCCGAACGCCGCAAACCCAGAAGTGAGTGTTCTGGTTTGTGAACGTTTTTTGGAAGCTGAACGTCCGACACGGCTTCCGCGACTTCCGATTGAGTGCAGGGAGCTCCTGCAGCCAATTGGAAGCCGCGCTTTGGTTTTCAAACATTTTTGGAAGTTGAACGGACTTCCGGAACAGATTCCCTTGGAGAACCAAGGTAAGACTGAATATACATCCAGTATCATAGCCATAATTAAAGAAAAAGAAAAAATGATCAATGAAATAACCATAAAGGTAAAGGTAAAGGTACCCCTGCCCGTACGGGCCAGTCTTGACAGACTCTAGGGTTGTGCGCCCATCTCACTCAAGAGGCCGGGGGCCAGCGCTGTCCGGAGACACTTCCGGGTCACGTGGCCAGCATGACATCGCTGCTCTGGCGAGCCAGAGCCGCACACGGAAACGCTGTTTACCTTCCCGCTAGTAAGCGGTCCCTATTTATCTACTTGCACCCGGGAGTGCTTTCGAACTGCTAGGTTGGCAGGCGCTGGGACCGAACAACGGGAGCGCACCCCGCCGCGGGGATTTGAACCGCCGACTTTTCGATCGGCAAGCCCTAGGCGCTGAGGCTTTTACCCACAGCGCCACCCGCGTCCCTAAATAACCATAGCAATGTTCAAATTAAAATTAAGGATTTCAGTGCATAAAAAAAAGTCCCCTTTCCAATGAAGCACCAAAACCTTTCAGAGTTTCAAGAGTTTCAGAGCTAGCCAATTGCACATGTCAGGGTAATACATTTATAATAAATATATACTGTTTAATTTCTACTGTACAGATGTCAACAGAAGGATAATGACTATTACACTATGTGCAGTTAAGCTACTGAAAACCCACTTGAATGGAATTTAAGCAACCTCTATGGAGCCAACAGGGCAGCACACCTTTAATTTTTGAAATATTTTTTCAATCCTGATAAAAGAGTATATTTTAACTGTAGAATGAAGAAGCAGGGTTAGATGGTATCAGAGTGGTTATAAATAAATAAAATCCAGAGCATGTAGCAAGAGGCTGAACCTTTGTTACAGAGCGTTCAGATCACTCCCTATTCCTGAAAAATGCTGAAACGGTTCAGCTTTCTCCAAAATTTGCCAGAATAGATATATTTCAGTACCTTTAAGACATCAGGCAGCATTTTCTGCACTTTCTTCTCTCCTATGATACAAAAGCACTGGTGTAGCATTTCCTTCTTATCTGTGATGTAGAAACTAACTGGCTTCAATTGCACGCTGAGATCTAATCCACCTTCTTCTAGGTCACTGGATTCTTCTTCCACATCCTCATTTTCTGGAATTTGTGTAGTACATTTTGTTTCCTAAATAATGACACAGAAAACTGTTTCAATCATGACCCAACACAAAACACTTGCTTATGTCGTAATATCGGCAACTAAGCTTTGACTACAGAAGGAACAGTGCAAGCCATTTCATGTCTACTCAGAAGTAAGTCCCACAAGGTTAGATGGGTCTTACTCCCAGGATATAGGATTACAGCCTGAATCAATGAAGCTTCTTATATAGGCTTCTAATACTGTAGTCTAAAATACAAATGCAATGTTTAAGATGCTCCATAAAGTTGGTGTTCAGTTTTGCATTTTGAAGTTACTTGAAAGATCATATAGTCAGCAAAGAAGTTTACAGGTGAATGCTGCAAAAGGAAATCCACGGGGATAGTTCTCTCTCAAAATATTATGCCACCCAGTAAAAGGAACTGAGAATACATTCGGGGGGGGGGGGGATGAAACAACACATTCAAAGCACTTTGGTTACTATCTCTGTTCTTCTCACACCAGCCCTGTAAGGCAAGCCGGTACTGTCATCACAATTACAGGCAAGAGGTTGAACTCAAGATATAGTAGTCTGGCCTGTGGACACCTTGTGAATTCATGGCTGTGAAATTTGAGTATCTGGATCATATTTTTAAAGTTGCAAACCTACTTGGGAGTAAGCCTTAATTCAAAGTAAACATGCATAAGTCTGGTCAGAAAGCTGCTCCCTAACACCAGATCTTAAGAATGTTAATGTAGCATATAATTAATGTACTAATAACTTCCTTGCAAAAAATAGTGATGCCTTCTAACTTAAAAAAAAAAAACTTTTAACAAATTCATGATGCAGGTTAGGTCTGTCAGTGGCTCTTAATCAGGACAGCTAAAAGTAGAACCATATTGGGAAGTGGACAGTCACGTTTGTGATTAGAAGTTACTGGAGTAAAAAAAAACATGGGGATTATGCTCCACAGTTAAGCTGTCCAGATAGGCTGGGGACCCCCCCCAGATGGGTGGGGTATAAATAATATATTATTATTATTATATTATTATTAATAATAATAGTTAGTTGGAGACAAAAATGTTAACCATGCTAGGCTGTTAGTCAAATTGATCAAAGCAATTCATAATTTTACCACCACCACTCAATTTTTCAATATAAACGTTTTTGGTAGTTCTTATTTGATTATTGTAAAGCTCCCCCCCCCCATTTTGGGTTTCCATCTTGTGATGTGCTTTATACAGATTCTGTATAAAGCTGGGTTACTCTAGGACAAAAACTGGGTCGCAAACAAGTAAACGGAACAGCTGTTCATAGCAAATGGACACAAGTCCAGGAATATGGGGAACTTTGCTTCAAAATCTCAAGAAGCTGAATTCAAACGTAATATAAAATAATAATAATAGTAATAATAATTGCCATCCACGTAAGCTGTGCTTTACAAATACTGAAAGGTGCACTCCCAGAGCTTTTAGAAAACTATAAGAAGCGCGGGGGGGGGCGTGGCCGCCAAGGCACCTTGCGCATGCGCATACCAGCCCTGCCCCGCCTTCCCTCAGGGCGGCCCAGGCGGCGGTTACCTCGGCCAGGCCTTGAAGCGGCTCGATGCTCCGGCGTTTCCTCTCGCTGCCTCCGCCTTCTTCGTCCAGGCAGCCTAGGCGGGAGCGGTGCCGCTTCTTCTCCTTGGGAAACTTACGCCCCGTCATGACGGCGACCCGAGAGAACCGGCGTCGGCCGCGCCCTCTTCCCGCGAGCCTCTCGTCACAGAGCGAGCGAGCGGGGCGTAGTCGGCGTAATATATCAGCGGCCCGACGCCGCCTTCGCCCGCTCGCCGTGCGTGCGTCGCGCTTTGATGACGTCATCCGCGCCGCCCTGCCAACGTAGAGCTAGCGAAGAGAGGTAAATGCAGAGTGGCCCGTTGTGGAGAGGCCGGAGGTTCCGGTTCCAGCTGGTCCAGAGAGGGAGAGGTGGAGGCAGGTGGAATTCGAATCTGCCTTTATTGCATGTGGGAAAAGTGATAAACGATAAAATGATAAAATAAAAATACCCGCCTTGTTTCATGTGGAAAAGAGCTTTTATTGAAATCTAAAATAAAATATATAATGGAATATAATATAATGGAATATAAATAAAATAAAAATCCCCACCTTATTTCGTGTGGAAAATAGGATCCTTTAGATTTCAATAAAATAGAACATATAATGTAATATAATATCAAAAAAATACCCACCTTATTTCATGTGGAAAAGAGGACCTTTTAGATCTTAATAATATAAAATATATAATACCATAAATAAAATAAAAAACCCATATTATTTCATGTGGAAAATTGGATCCTTTAGACTTCTATAAAATAAAATGAAAATACCCATCCTACCTATACATGCTCCCATGTTGCAAGCTCTTAAATACTGCTTAATGCTGCAGCCCAGGTTGGTCAGGACTTCCAGCCCAAAGTCTTCTGTAAACCCTTCAGGTTGCAGTCAAAATTCAGCCTCCGCTCGACTCAGATTTCATAGAATCATAGTGTTGGAAGGGACACGACCTGAGGGTTATCCAGTCCAACCCCCTGCAATGCAGGAATTTCAACCAAAGCACCCAGGGGACAGATGGCCAGCCAACTTCTGCTTAGAAACCTCCAAAAAAAGGAGAGTCCACAACCTCCCTAAAATATCACCATATACTGTGTGTGTGTGTGTGTGTGTGTGTGTGTGTGTGTGTGGTGCCTACATTATGCATGGACTGTTTGCATGGCAACAAGTGCAAATGGCTTTAGATACCTATTAGGTCCATAAATTACCATATAGCATATGTTCAGCAGAAAAACAGCGACAATTTGTTGTTGACAAAGAACAGCTGGACATATGAGGGCCTTCTCGGTGGTGGTGCCCACCCTGTGGAACACCCTCCCATCAGATGTCAAGGCAATAAGCAACTATATGACTTTTAAAAGATATCTGAAGGCAGCCCTATTTAGGGAAGTTTTTAATGTTTGGTGTTTTATCGTGTTTTTAATATTCTGTTGGGAGCCGTCCAGAGTGGCTGGGGAAACCCAGCCAGATGGGCAAGTATAAACAATAAACTATTATTATCTCTTTTTTGATACAATTTATTAGACAATGTCTAGTAACGCAGGGAAAACAAGCAACCTCGTTACACTTTGAAATGTTGCAGAGCTTTTGGCAGGTCTGTTGTTATAACCCCTATGGCAAAGGTTCGTCTAGCCCAAGGTTTCTTAAAGGGGGGTTGATACTTGACCCCCTTAGGGGGTCTAAGGGACTGGGCAGGGGGTGAATAAGGACCTGGGGTGGAAATGCCTGGACTCTTGAGGTCCACGTCCAAAATTAACAACTATCTGACTTTTAAAAGACATCTGAAGGCAGCCCTGTTTAGGGAAGTTTTTTATGTTTTATCATGTTTTTAATATTCGGTTTGGAGCTGCCCAGAGTGGCTGGGGAAAAGCCAGATGGGTGGGGTATAAATATATAATTATTATTATTACTATTATTATTATTATGTAAAGGACCCTATTACCTTCAGTAGCTTAGGGCCTCATCAAACCTAAATCTGGCCCTGTGTGGGGTTCATGTGTTTTTCATAGGCATCTGGCTGGCTCCTGCGAGAAGAGCAAAGCTATACTTATGTTCTCTGGCCGTTCTCAAAACAACTCATCTGCAATGTCTCAGCCTATATATGGCTCCTTTTGCCAAGGGAATTCTTCGCACATTGCAGGAAAATATATCCTTCAAACCCCACCTTCCCACTTGTCTTCTTCACCTGTCTACTCGGATGCAAGTTTTTACTTTTCAAAGACATTCTTTACACAGCTCAAAGTGCATGTTATTTTTATCTGAGCTATTTCAGTTCCAGACATGTTTTATTTTTATTTTTTTAAAAAAGGAACATGCGTTGTCCACTTGGTTGAGCAGACTTTAACAGCAGTGTTTGAATACGGTCAGAAACGGGTGACCTTATTTGGTGGAACAAAATGTAATTTGTCCAGAGCGAAGCTTATTATCCTTACATGTTTAGCCAAGTTCAGAAAAGCATCAAAGGAGAAAGTGATAGGAGGAGTTTACAACATTAGCAGACTCCAACTTTGGTTATCGAGTGAGGTGTTGCTGTCAGAAGGGGGGATTCCCCAGAATAACATTTAACATCGCTTGTTTGAATTTCCCAAAATAAAACGGTACGTTCTGATCCTCAAAATACTCATTTGCATATTTAGTATTATTGCAGCTATATTTCTAACTGGACAAGGACAAAAAAAAAAGGATAAACGCATGAGCTGCATGTGTCTGATAAGGAACTAAGAAAAAATGCTGACATTTAGGTATAAGGGATTAGACTTTAGAATGAACATCTCATCAATATGAATGAGACAGCTCAAATTTGGCAGCAATATTATTGCACTCTGGCTGGCTGCAGATAACATTGCACTTCCTTCAGCATTGGGAAGGTTATCGCCGAATCCCAAGAAAGATAAAACCATATATTATATATATATATATATATATATATGCTTTCGTAGATTTTCACGGGTACAGGAATGCAAGTTTTGGTGTCCTCGGGTGTCTTCCCGTGTAAAAGTTGGGGTGTCTAGGCGACGTTTCGACGAGGTCTCACTCGTCATCTTCAGGCTGGTGTTTTCGGCTTCTTGTTACAAGAAGCCGAAAACACCAGCCTGAAGATGACGAGTGAGACCTCGTCGAAACGTCGCCTAGACACCCCAACTTTTACACGGGAAGACACCCGAGGACACCAAAAAATATATATATATATATATATTTCCAAAGGAACATTTTACAGGGTCAAAAAAACAAAAAAGCCCACACCACGCACTAGAAAACCCAAAGTACATGTTTCCTGGCATACTAGATATTATCAGATAAAGTGGTTTAAAAAAAAAAACTATGTGAAAATTAAAAACTTTTGCATTATTCTGTTCCACAAGAAATCAGGACCATGTTAGGCAGCGGTGCCTCACAATCTAAAAGCTGGAACAATGAGTGTAGGTACTGTAACTTAAAATGCTGTGGTTGTACACTGATGTGCTTTCTTTTAAAATATGACGTGAAAAACAAAGCTAAGATAGCTTGTTCTTAAAACTGTCTCAGTCAATCGAGACTGCTTTGTTGATTTCTGTTGACCTTTAATTCCAAACACTCAAAAGCTACTGCAGACCAACTCTCATGCATTGCAGCTTTTGAAGGATAACAAATTCCGTATCAGTGCAAAAAAAGATTTTATTTAGGTTTTTTTCACTTAATGTCCAGATAGTTAAACCCACAGTATTTCTTCTCTCCATTGTTGTAAAATATGAAAAAAGTTTATCTTCAGCATAGCCATAGACTTTCCAAGTGCTTTTTAAAAAACGAAACGTTAGAGCAAGTTTAAGCACCAACCTACAGCATTCGTTTACCTTAGCCGGTTCCGATACAGAGAGATATTCTTAATTTGAGAATCAACCCCCAGAGACTTAGCTAACTGTACAGCATCTGAATCACCACTGATCATGTCCCAAGAGCCACAAGTAGTCTAAAGATAGCTTCGAGGTCTTGCACAATTTCCATGACTGTGCTGATCACTGATAAGCACTGAGCTTTCCCCTCAATGTTATTAATTTTATGTAAACAGACCAGCGTAGTTCAGAGCCAGGGTGGCTAATGCAATGTGAATGTTCTTATTGTGCTATTTTCAGCTCTATTGCCTGGGACATTATCAAGTCCCCCTGTGACATCAATGAGCTTCTGGCCAACTGGGTGGATAAACAGTTGCAACAAAATTCTAAGGGCCAGCATCTGGTTGGCTTGATTCCTCCTGGTTTCAGGAATTGGGATCAGGTGCGTGCTGAACTGTAGCCATCCTTCTTCGCTGCAGAAGCTGTTCAGTTCACTGCTGGGATATGCCTGATGGATTAACCGAAAAGGAATCGAGCGCTGAAAAGACAATGTCTAGAACCAGGGAAAACAAGCACCTCGTTACACTTTGAAATGTTGCAGAGCTTTCGCAGGTCTGTTGTATAACCCCTATGGAAAGGTTCGTCTAGCCCAGGGTTCTTAAAGGGGGTGATACTTGACCCCCTTAGGGGTCTAAGGGACTGGGCAGGGGTGAATAAAGACCTGGGGTGGAAACAAGTAATGTTACGAGACCAGTGCTCCACCCTGTGGAAGCTCCAGTTCCAAGATGTCAAGGAAATAAACAACTATCAACTTTTAGAAGACACTGAAAGCAGCTCTGATATAGAGAAGGTTCTTATGTTTAATGTTGGAGAGCTGCCCAGAGTGGCTGGGAAACCCAGCCAGAGATAGGTGGCATGTTGTTCTAATTGTTATAATGATGTTAGTAAAATAATATTTATGAACTCTGAAATAAAGGGCATTAAGAATGTGAAGAGAGTGCACGCCCTTGCCCAATGAGGATCTCTGTGCTAGTGTAGGACAACTGCATCTAACATGGAGGTTCAGTTCTGAGGGTTTCTACCTATAATAGTGGGTGCCTTGTTTAGAAGAACTAAATTCCGTTCTGGAAGTCCGTTCATAAACCAAAGTGTTCTTAAACCAAGGCATGCTTTCCCATAGCAGCGGGGGACTCAATTTACAAATGGACACACCTCAACAGGAAGTGAAACATGTTCTGCTTCCAAGGCAAAGTCCACAAACCAAAACACCTACTTGCGGGTTTGCAGCGTTCTTAATCCAAGTTGTTCATAAACAAGCTGTTCTTAAACCAAGGTAAACACTGTACAGAAAATCAGCTATACACAAAACCTTGAAACAGAGAGCTTAAAACTCTTGTTGCTCGGGAAAATGCCAAAAGTAGGGACCAGACACAAAAAGTTTTTAAGGCTCTCCTGCCTTGCCTGCATTTAACTGTGCAATTTCATCCAAACTTTTGTCTTCAACCATGCATGAAATTGCCGGAGGTAAATGTGTGTAAGAGAGGCCATTGTAGTGTATTTTTTTAAAAGACGATTCCATTATACAACGGTATTCTCAGACATGCCTAGCTGTCGAACAGAGAAGCGGCTAAAACAACAAAGAACATGGTGACTCAAGACTCACTAAAACCTACAGCCGAATATTCATATGCTTGTTAAAAAGCCCATTAGGCCCATATAATCTCATTAGAGAAGATTAAAAAAAAGTTGTCATTATATTTTACACTCGTTTTTCTTTTTCTTCTTTATTTAACATTTTATCAATTGCCATTACCATAATAATAAATTATACATATGGTATAATTTCTTAAAGGTTTTTCATTTATAGCCTAGAGAGTGCTGGGTGGGGCTGATGACAATTTTATGACTCAGCGTTGGGGAACTGATCTAGCCTGAGTAATTCTCTTTTTTGGAAAATAATGGAATCCTTAGCATTTATGTAACTCAGACAACTGAATTACAAGTGTCATTGCTATTAAAATAATAGCATAGCGATAAGTAGGATGTCTGAAGATTAACTTCAGACTAAGTCAGATAATATTCGGCCTGATGGCAATGGACAGCGATCCTCAGCACTAATATATAAACTGACAGATCACCAATACAAAGAAATAAAATTATTTGTGGTATAAATGGTGTATACTAAAAAGGTAAAGGAAAAGGACCCTGATAGTTGAGTCAGTCGCAACGCTCTGGGTGGTGCGGCGCTCATCTCGCTTTCAGGCGGGGCCGGCGTTTGTCGCAGCGTTCCAGGAGTTGGCAGCAGGACTGAGCAGCTTCGGGAAGCCAGAGCAGCAGACAGAAAGCCTTACCTCCCGGGAGGAGCGGGACCTATTTACTACTTGCAGCTGTTGCTGTTCGGAACTGCTAGTTGGCAGGAGCTGAAGGACAGAAACAAACGGCAAACCGTAGGGGGATTGAAACGCCGATGTTCTGAGGGCAATAACCCAAAGGCTGAGAGGAGACAAAAATGTTAACCATGCTAGGCTGTTAGTCAAATTGATCAAAGCAATTCATAATTTTACCACCACCACTCAATTTTTCCAATATAAACGTTTTTGGTAGTTCTTATTTGATTTTTGTAAAGCCCCCCCCCCATTTTGGGTTTCCACCTTGTGATGTGCTTTATACAGATTCTGTATAAAGCTGGGTTACTAGTCTAGGACAAAAAACTGGGTCGCAAACAAGTAAACGGAACAGCTGTTCATAGCAAATGGACACAAGTCCAGGAATATGGGGAACTTTGCTTCAAAATCTCAAGAAGCTGAATCCAAACGTAATATAAAATAATAATAATAATAGTAATAATAATTGCCATCCACGTAAGCTGTGCTTTACAAATACTGAAAGGTGCACTCCCAGGGCTTTTAGAAAACAACTATAAGAAGGCGCGGGGGGGGGCGTGGCCGCCAAGGCACCTTGCGCATGCGCATACCAGCCCTGCCCCGCCTTCCCTCAGGGCGGCCCAGGCGGCGGTTACCTCGGCCAGGCCTTGAAGCGGCTCGATGCTCCGGCGTTTCCTCTCGCTGCCTCCGCCTTCTTCGTCCAGGCAGCCTAGGCGGGAGCGGTGCCGCTTCTTCTCCTTGGGAAACTTACGCCCCGTCATGACGGCGACCCGAGAGAACCGGCGTCGGCCGCGCCCTCTTCCCGCGAGCCTCTCGTCACAGAGCGAGCGAGCGGGGCGTAGTCGGCGTAATATATCAGCGGCCCGACGACGCCTTCGCCCGCTCGCCGTGCGTGCGTCGCGCTTTGATGACGTCATCCGCGCCGCCCTGCCAACGTAGAGCTAGTGAAGAGAGGTAAAGGCAGAGTGGCCCGTTGTGGAGAGGCCGGAGGTTCCGGTTCCAGCTGGTCCAGAGAGGGAGAGGTGGAGCAGGTGGAATTCGAATCTGCCTTTATTGCATGTGGGAAAAGTGATAAACGATAAAATGATAAAATAAAAATACCCGCCTTGTTTCATGTGGAAAAGAGCTTTTATTGAAATCTAAAATAAAATATATAATGGAATATAATATAATGGAATATAAATAAAATAAAAATTCCCACCTTATTTCGTGTGGAAAATAGGATCCTTTAGATTTCAATAAAATAGAACATATAATGTAATATAATATCAAAAAATACCCACCTTATTTCATGTGGAAAAGAGGACCTTTTAGATCTTAATAATATAAAATATATAATACCATAAATAAAATAAAAAACCCATATTATTTCATGTGGAAAATTGGATCCTTTAGACTTCTATAAAATAAAATGAAAATACCCATCCTACCTATACATGCTCCCATGTTGCAAGCTCTTAAATACTGCTTAATGCTGCAGCCCAGGTTGGTCAGGACTTCCAGCCTAAAGTCTTCTGTAAACCCTTCAGGTTGCAGTCAAAATTCAGCCTCCGCTCGACTCAGATTTCATAGAATCATAGTGTTGGAAGGGACACGACCTGAGGGTTATCCAGTCCAACCCCCTGCAATGCAGGAATTTCAACCAAAGCACCCAGGGGACAGATGGCCAGCCAACTTCTGCTTAGAAACCTCCAAAAAAAGGAGAGTCCACAACCTCCCTAAAATATCACCATATACTGTGTGTGTGTGTGTGTGTGTGTGTGTGTGTGGTGCCTACATTATGCATGGACTGTTTGCATGGCAACAAGTGCAAATGGCTTTAGATACCTATTAGGTCCATAAATTACCATATAGCATATGTTCAGCAGAAAAACAGCGACAATTTGTTGTTGACAAAGAACAGCTGGACATATGAGGGCCTTCTCGGTGGTGGTGCCCACCCTGTGGAACACCCTCCCATCAGATGTCAAGGCAATAAGCAACTATATGACTTTTAAAAGATATCTGAAGGCAGCCCTATTTAGGGAAGTTTTTAATGTTTGGTGTTTTATCGTGTTTTTAATATTCTGTTGGGAGCCGTCCAGAGTGGCTGGGGAAACCCAGCCAGATGGGCAAGTATAAACAATAAACTATTATTATCTCTTTTTTGATACAATTTATTAGACAATGTCTAGTAACGCAGGGAAAACAAGCAACCTCGTTACACTTTGAAATGTTGCAGAGCTTTTGGCAGGTCTGTTGTTATAACCCCTATGGCAAAGGTTCGTCTAGCCCAAGGTTTCTTAAAGGGGGGTTGATACTTGACCCCCTTAGGGGGTCTAAGGGACTGGGCAGGGGGTGAATAAGGACCTGGGGTGGAAATGCCTGGACTCTTGAGGTCCACGTCCAAAATTAACAACTATCTGACTTTTAAAAGACATCTGAAGGCAGCCCTGTTTAGGGAAGTTTTTTATGTTTTATCATGTTTTTAATATTCGGTTTGGAGCTGCCCAGAGTGGCTGGGGAAAAGCCAGATGGGTGGGGTATAAATATATAATTATTATTATTACTATTATTATTATTATGTAAAGGACCCTATTGTTAGGGTGTGAAACCTAAGACGCTGGCAAGTTAGCAATGTCATGTGACTTTAAGTAGTCAAGCTCGTTAAGTTGTTAAGTTGCTCAGTATATAAAGAGTGTTTGTTTTCTCTGCCTGTGGGGCGTGAAGCAAAAATGTCTGAAAGCTCCGGAGGTGTTTCTGTTATCTTTCTGCAATAAACCTGTCTTTGGAAAGACAGGCTTCCCTGTGTCGTTATTTCTTTGCTGCTGAGACTCTGAAGCTTGTACTGCAACAAGAATCTCTGCACTGGACTTAATTAATGCTCTGCAAAGAGAACAGTTGCTGGTGGCGCAGCGGAAGTGTTTACTGGACCAGTACACAGACTCTCTTAGGTTATGGATCCTTCTACGTTTCTACAGCTGTATTGTGTGCAGAGAAAGTGAAAGCAGCTTTCGGGTGAGAGAAGACCGGCTTGGTCGTAAATCCAGCTCTTAAAGGCTTCAGAGGAGGCTGGAGGCATCTGAAAAGTGAGTAAAACAAATCCCAAGGGGAAAGAGAAGAAAGGCCACACAGAGGGAGTAGCAGCAGACCCCAAGAATGGCAGTGGAAAATTTCCAGGTTCCCTTTACAAAGTTGAACTCTGCTAATTACGTGCAGTGGTCTAAGAGGGCTCAAGTCTGGTTGGAAGCCAAAGAAGTGTGGGCTGACTATGTCCAGAGGCGAAAGCCGTTTGTGGCTGTTGCAGCAGATGCCACAGCAGAGCAACAGGCTGCTGCACATGCTCAGAACAGGGAACATGATAAAATGGACACTAAAGCTAGATGCATGTTGATGGTATTGATAGACGATTCCCAATTACCTCATGTGGAAAATTTAAGGTCTGCATTTGAAATTTGGGAAACTCTTAGGCGAATTCACCATAGAGCCACGCCCGGAGAGAAGGTGAACATTATACGTGCTTTGTATGAGTTGAAACTGAAGCCAGGGGATAGTGTGGTTGAACACACGTCACAGATGACTGAGTATTTCAACCGACTGTCATCTCTAGGTGTGAATTTTCCTGAAAATATTAAAGTTTATACTCTGCTTAGCAGCCTGCATGCAGGGTTTGAAAACTTAGTACTAACTTTACAAGTTTTGCCAGAGGACCAGCTGAATATGAATTATGTGACTGGTAGATTGTGTGAGCAAGAATATCAATATCATCGAAAACGTATTGATAATTCAAATACCCCAAGGGTTGGATGTTCAGATAATTCCCAGTGTGGGGGAACTAGCAGGCAGAGCTGTAAGGAAGCCTCACAAGTTTCTGCTATGGCCAGCAAGTCATGTTTTCGATGTGGCAGCAGGTTTCATTTGATAGCAAAGTGTCCAGAAAAGCAACAGGAATTTCAACAGTCCAAGGCCAGTTTCCGGAGCTACAGGGGAAGACGACGTGAGAACTACAAGAATCAACGATCCAGAGGGGGAGCAGGTGCTGATAAGGGACTATCTGCAATGGCAGCACAACAGAGTCCAAAAAGGAGCCAACAAAAAGGAGTGTAACATTAAACCCTGTCCAAATTTTCTGGATTGTTGTGCTTGTAAACAGGCCAAGGTTAAGACATGTAACTATCCTAGATCTGACAGAGTAAGCAAGAAACCCTTTGAACTTGTGCACACAGACGTGTGTGGCCCTATGCCAGTCAAATCGCTTGGAGGTGCGAGATTTATGCAAATTTTGGTGGATGACTTTTCAAGGGCTAGTTGGGTTTTCTTTCTGAAAGAAAAATCACAAGCAGCTTCCATCCTGATGGATTGGATTGAAGAAGTCGAATGTAAATTTGACACCAGGGTGCGTAAAATACAATCAGATCGTGGTGGGGAATATGTGAACCACACGCTGGAGACATGGTTAAAAAGGAAAGGTATAGTTCATAGACTTACCAATCCCTATTCACCACAGGAGAATGCAGTTGCCGAAAGAAAATTTCGTACATTACAGGAAGCCATTGCTGCTTTGCTGTTTGATTCTGGACTTCCACAGCGTTTTTGGGCTGAGGCTGCACTGTATGCGAATTATACTTTTAACAGAGTGTACAATAGCACAGTAGGCAACACTCCTTACTTCATGCTATTTGGGAAAAAACCAAAAATTGATCATCTAAGAGTTTTTGGATGTCGTGCTTATGTGCTGGTGCCTAGGGCACAACGTAGGAAAGGCGATCCTAGATCTAAAGAAATGTTTTTCTGTGGTTATCAAGCAAACACAAAAGGTTGGAGATTTGTGAATGTAGAAGGCAATCAAACAAAAATCACAATCAGCAGAAGTGCGGAATTTTGTGAACAGGATGGTTGGAATAAAATTCATGGAAATCCTGACATACTATTTGATGTGGTGAACAGTAACAATGAAACTCAGGCCCCCGAGCAGGTATTAGTTCCAGAACAGGCTGAGGAATTTGAGCCTGAGGACGAGGGTGAGAAATCGTCTAGTTCACCCAAGTCTGTAAAATCAGAATCTTCTAGCTCTAAAAGTTCACCTGTACAGCAAGAGAGACGTGTAAAGTCAGAATCTTCTAGCTCTCAAAGTTCACCTGTACAGCAAGAGAGACGTGTAAAGTCAGAATCAGAAAGTTCTTCAACTACTAGTGACAAACAGGTGACGACTAGTGATTCTGGGTCAGAGGGGGAAACTGAAGGAACATCGCAGGAACTGTTAAGGCGTTCCAAGCGTACCAACAAAGGTAAACCTCCTGAAAGGTACCAAGCTATTAGTGTTTGGGCTGGTTTGGCAAATTGCGAACCTGAAAGTTTTGAGGCGGTTGAGCAGTTACCCCAGGAGGAGGCCAGTAGGTGGCGTGAGGCCATGCAAAAGGAGTTGAATTCTATGAAAGAACTGGGTGTGTTTTCCATCACCAAACTGCCAGAAGGTACCAAGGCAGTAAGTTGTAGGTGGGTGTACAGGATAAAGACAACAGCGATGGGGAAACCAGAGTACAAAGCAAGGCTTGTAGCTCGAGGTTTTACACAAAGAGAGGGGTTACATTATTCCGAAGTCTATGCACCCACTTCAAGGAGTGAAACCCTACGGGCACTATTAGCAGTTGCTGCTCAGAAAGGGTTCAAAGTGAATCAATTTGATGTCTCTACAGCTTATCTTCATTCAGACTTGGCTGAAGAGCTCTATATGGAGCTACCGCCAGGATTGAAAGTTGGTAAATCAAATCAGGTATGGAAACTACATAAATCTATTTATGGACTCAAGCAATCTGCTCATAATTGGAATGAATGTTTGAATGACGTTTTGGTAAGCATTGGTTTTAGCAGGAGCAAGGCTGACAATTGCTTATATTTCAGAGGTTCAGGAGATGCTCAAGAATCTTTGCTTGTTTATGTAGATGACCTGATT